CTCAGTGGGAAGCAGTTTTATAGGCTTGTTGCTTTTTGCTGCAGAAAGTGCCAATACACATAAAAGTCACTCCCTTTGCCCTATTGGATAATCATAATCTTCCATAGCCAGAGAATTGAAGGATAAAATCTATGTTGGCTCATCCCATGGGTGCTAGGCCTATTGCATCTATAGCTGACCTCCCTGAACTGCAATATAACTAATTCTGGGTATTTTACACAGCCCTGTGTTAGTCTTATGATTAGGAAATCCATTCCCCCTATTCTTCTGGTATTCTATCATAGTTTTATAAATGAAGTATGGTACTATTCTCTCCTATTCAACTTGAATTCTAGGTGTCACCTGCCCTGAAAATTTGTGAACGTGAGAGATGGAATCAGGAAGGGGCCAAGAAGATGCTTTTGATGCTGAATCTTACAACATTAATGGCTCACTTTTCCACCCAGAACTGTACTTGCAAAAGCTGCTCAAGGAAGCTCCCCTGTCTCATTTGATGAAGAAGGAGAAGGAAATATTCAGGCAGATTCAAGAGCTTGATTCANTTTTTTTTTTTGCACCACTGCTGCCTACCAAATTTTTTTTACCCACGAGCCGCCACTGCCCGCATATGATGTGGTGATCTCTGACCTCGACTGTTTTTTGACCCACTTCGCATCTTTTCGCCTGTTGAGAAGCGCATTCGATCCGTGCAGAAATCACGAAGTTAATTAGAACAAGTTCGAGGTGAATTTTAATATGCTTGAATTCAGTGAAATTTCCTGTATTGGACGAAAAATGAAACAGAGTACGTCAGTGTTTATGATACCATCCTAATCATGATGCCCATGGAGCATGCTGGTGCAGGCAAAGGTTTTAGGAATTAGGAGCGGAGGAGATTCCTATATGACAACACTGGTAAATGGGGTTGTTGGCAAGTATGGCACTGCCCGGCTCAATGCAGCTCTCTGGCGATCCAGAGAAGTATGTGCACGTGGTCCTGATGTAGTAGAGCGGCTTCATTTTGTTCACGTGATTTTGATAGCGTCTGCGGCTCGCCTGGTATATTCTTGACATTAGCCTAACGTAAAGGAAGCGTTATGTAACTTGTTGAGCCAAACTACTATGGCGTGTGTTTAACATATTCTGTTGGTCATTTACGTTAGGCCTACCGATCTTACAAATTCCCTCTCATTCGCGTTAGTTTCAGTATTTTCTTTCCTTCAAACATGGGACACCTGGTATTGTGTGCTTACATGAGGCACGTGTCATAGGCACATGATTTAATTTTCAGTTGTGCCTCCAGGTAGTCTTCACTCTGAATTGAATTCGTATTTCCTCTGCGTAGTGGAGGATGGGGGAAAGCACTATTTCAGATGATCTGTTTCATAATGTGCTTCAAAAACTACCAAAGTGGAAGGTGTCTCTACCTGTAGTTGATGGAGGTGCTTTTATAAGTGGGTTCATTGTCAACCTGAAAACGGGGTAAAGGTTATATCCAGGCAGCTTGGCTACTGCTCTCTTCACATCTCTATTGCTTCCCTCTTGCCTTTGAGAGTGAGGGATGGGAACCCAACAGCTAATGACTGATGTAAACACCAAGTGTTCTAGTTTTATAGGATTATTTCTCTTTCATTTCAGCTGAGGTATGAACAGTTAGGAAACCCAATGGTTGGGTATTTCATGGCAAAGAGCACTCATTGGGGTGGGGTCATTTTCACTTGTTAAAACTAGATCCAGAGCTGCCCTGGATATAATCAGTAGACATTACTTATAGGCCTGTTTTGCTTAAATTTAACCAAACATGCGGTTAACTGAATGCGAGCTGAGTCACCTGAAATCCCAATTGATTGGGATTCTTATATATAAATACACAC